TGCAGTTGAGAATTCTCCACCACTTTTCCTAGCATTAACTTCCACAACTCGTAACCTAAGACACAGAATTGTATCATCGAATGTATAAGATTAACGTACAAACTAATGTTAATTAATCTTACTTTTCCTTTCCCTTAATCTTGGCCTCATTTTTTGCTTTTCTCTTCATCTTATTTCTTTCTCTTGCACTTAAACCCGCCATATCTTCCGAGTTCAAAACAGGAGAACGAGGCGGTTGCACATTAATCTCTGTTTTGGAAACAGTTAAATTTTGTTGTGACATTACTGCGCCGCTAATATCCGCATCATCTAATAAATCGACTAAAAGATCGTATGGGTATTTATAGCATATTAATAACTAATATAAGTTGAGTTACACCACGTATCAATCAGACATACCATCCATGAATTCGCCCCCTAATCCCAATCTTTCTCTAAGATTTTTGTGCTGTAATGCAATTCGTTGTGCTGGATCAAGATCACTCAAGTCAAGATCATATTCCTGCATTAATTAAACAAACAAAATAAAAGTTCATTAACTTGAAATATTTATAAATTTCAAATTTTATTCTTACTTTTCCTGCCGAACCCAGTAATGGTTTTCCGTTTTGTAACACATTCTTGATGTCAAAATTGTCAAAAGAATATTTGTTATCGTTTGATTCGTTTATGGTGGGTTTCGCGTTTTCGATTTTGACAGCTACAGTTCAAAGTGTTAGATAATGAGTCAAATTCGGATAGAGAATCGAATAATGTGTAATTTAAGGAAATAAGTGGTAGAACGTACTTTCCGGAGGATCCCATGACGGGACGTTTTTGGCAATGGCTTCGATCGCTTGGCCCGCAGCAATGCGAGTATCCCATTCTTTATTGCTCAAATGAACAACAACCTGGTAAAGATATACACAAAGCCCTTACTCTTTGAGTATATACTGAAGGTTTGTTTATGTTTCAACAAAAATTACCAAGAAATTTACTGAAGTATGGAGGAATCAATGAAAAGTATAAAATGCACCCTTGATAACAAATTATGTAGCTCTCCGGGGTGTTGTTTTTGGATCTCCCCTAATTGCTGTGCGGCTGTTAAACGAACAGCTGGAGTAGAACCCGTATCCAGGAGAAGGACCAAACGGTCCAATCTGAATTTTGACAAAACAATGCATCCATTAATTAAAGATAAATTTAAAAAATATTTTCATCGAGTTTGTGTTGCATGTGTTGCAATAATACCTTGTCGCCATTAGAGATCCACTGATTATTTGAAAGTAGGGTGTGATGGATTGTACTAGTTAAGAGAAATTAGACGTAAAATATGGGTGGATTGGGCATCTATATATATGTATTTTATTTTATCATTTTTGTACAAGCCACAATTATGTGGATCACGTGACTGGCACAAAAATGGTTTATAAATAATATACAAATACAGTCAACTCTCTCTAAGTGCAACCACCTTGGGCTGCCAAATTTCTTGCACTTAGAGGGTTTTTGCACTTA